AGTGGTGCCCAGTGACAGAACAAGAGGTGACAGGCACACACTTGAACGTAGGAAGTTCCATCTAACGTGAGGAGGAACTTCTCTCCTTGGATGGTGACAGAGCACTGGCACAGGCTGCCCAGAGAGGGGACATTGTGGAGAATGTCTGGAGACATTCAAAGCCCTCCTGGACTCCATCCTGTGCCACCATATCCTGGTGACCCTGCTCTGACAGTGGGGTTGGACTAGATGATCTCCAGAGGTAACTTCCAACCCCTGACACTGTGTGATTCTGTGTTTCTGTAATGCAGATATTCAAAGAATCTTTGGAAAGGAGACTGTGAGATTATCAGAAAGTGTTACAGGAAAAAAGTTTAAAAGAAAGATAAAGCTTCCATGTCATTTAAAAGCAATATTTACATTGTTTTCTTCACTATATTGGTCATTTACAATCTGTTTATGAACAAGCCATTATGAATCTGTACAGGAGTGAAGGGAGTATCAGCTGCTCATGTTTTTCTGAGAACATGAAGGGGGAAGATGTGATATTTCACTGTCTGAAAATGTCAGTTCACTAGTTGAAGGACTATAATTTCCACATCTATTGTGGACAAAATCTGTTGAAGAGGAAAATGGAACAGGTCATTTTATCCGTCTCTTTGCTCAGAGGAAGGCAGGAAATAAGTAAAGCATGTGCAGTAGAGGCTTTCTGAGAGCTCCGTGTTGAGGAAAGTTATTTGGTGACACCGCCAGAAACGCAGGGCAGATTGAAGATGTTTTCTCAATGCATAGGCTGAAATCAGCAGAGGAAGAATGACTGCTGTGTAGGTGTTTCTAATTCATACTTAGCTTTAGGGCACCGTCAAAGTTTTTTACCTACATAACCTCAGTGTAGTTGAGCTGCTATTGCATTCAGAAAAATGGAAACCAAACCACATCCAGTGGCGCTACCTTTGCTTCCCTATCTCCTACATCACCTCAGGCTGCTGATCACCTGTGCTTTCAGTACCCAATCTCCAGTGCAATTTTCTTGCCATTTCTACTATGAAATTAAGCCAGTATGACACAGCAGTGCATTAACTTTGCATGGTTTTTCCCAAATGGAAATAAGTGGTTTGCAAGCTGTTTTCTTTTTTCCACCCCTATCTGCAAATCTATAGATAGATTTCAAATTTAGAACGGAATTGTACCAGTTTTTGGGATGCTCATTCTGTTCCGGCAGAAGCTGAGATACTTAATGGTGTCAGTGATAGATTTGGGGAGGCCAGCTGGACAGCTTCGCTGGATGCAGACCCTGTTCATGCAGAATCAGCAGAGTTAAATCATTGAATCAGTGGAGTTACTCAACTTCAGAAACGCCTGGAGAAAAAAAAAAATCAGTTCTTTGAGGAGCTTTTCAGACCACATTCAATTTTGCACAGCTAGATTATCTATCAGAACTAGGTGCCCAGGCCCGCACTAAAATTTTAGAGAACAGCAAGGCTCACTTTCTGGAGCCCACATTAAACATATAATGAAACAACATCCTCAAATTCAGGCCATTAAATTCAATGCCAGAGAGGACACCACAAGAATATTCCAGTTACATTGAGTCATCTTACATCACCTCACAAATACAGCATTTTTACTATACACCTAGATTTTGTATTAAATCAAAGGAACTCTTCACTTAAAAAATCACGTTTTGTTCTGTTATGCTACAGCAAATCTGGAATAACTCTGCTTAAATTTTAGTGGAATGGAATTGAACAGATTTGTAGCCTGGCAAAATTTACTCCTAAATCTAAGTGGAATTAATCTGTCCACACGGGAGTTGCTAGAAGTATGCCAGACAGCTAAATTTATAGAAATAGAAATGGGAATTGAAGCAGGATGTTCAGTTGACTTCTGATGCAAAGGAAATTTAAAAATGGATGTACTGTTAAAGGAGGACTATTAATATGTTTTATACCTAAATCTCTCTTATTTGAAACTATGCTTTTTAAAGCCCACTAACCCATGTCTTCACCAAGTAGATGTTTCCTCAGGGTGCGAACTGTCCCTCAATGTGTATGTACAGCCCCAGGCAGAGAGAGCCAAAGCATTAATTCAAACTTCTGGACATTATCATAATTCAAATAATAAACGGTTTGAAACAGAGTGTCACTTTAAACTGCTTTAGTGCAGATGGTCTTTTTCTTAATTCCCAGCCCCACAGTTAGTGAGCTGAGCTGATTGAACTGCTTGCCAATGCCGTTAAGAGCAGATGGAGTGAAATGAGATAAAGGCAATATTACAGTGCGGCTCCCGTGCATTGGCTCCCAGCCTCAGATGCCTTTATTGACATACATTTTACAACTCCACATCTCTTGCCATCAGCAGTTAGAATTATAAAGAGGTTGAGCATACTTGGCGTGAATGTCAATAATCAATAAGGATGCTCATCTGGCTTAATAAGGATAAATTGTTGCCCTTGAAACGACATGCCATTCCAGCAGTCAGAATGAACTCAGACTAGTTGCTGGGTATTTACACCAACTCTGAGTGCCTGTGTGCACACACGCTTTTGTTACACATTTCTCTGGCTGTTCCCTATCACTATGGATTCCTCTTCTGTGTCTTATAAAGATGTATTAAATTAATTCTTTTGAGTGCTCCTTTCTTAAAAGCTCATTTCTTCCACTTCAGGCTGGATGTTTTTTTTCCTACAGACTTTCATTACAGACTCTGTCTTTCTGAAAAGCTCCCAGTGTCGTCTTCTAAAGCCTGCTGACAAGACATGACAGGTGGAATTTTCAGAAGTGTCCACTGTGAGGGACCATTGCTGCCTTTAAAGCCTATGATCAGTTTCTGCCCAGCTTTAGCTAGGGCAGGTAGACCTTTGTGCAACAGACTTAAATTAATTCTGAGTGCTTAGAAAATACTGATCCTACTCTTATGGGAAGCAGTTCTTTTTATAAAAAGCGTGAATGTTCTGATCACAAAAAACCAAGTAATACATAAGCAAAGATAACATCAAGATCAGTGGCTCCCTGGAGACATCATTTTTTATGTTTTAATAAATAAAACAGGACATTTACTAAATAAAATAGGCCAGAAGTCACCTTCTGAATTGCTGCACCCACACCCTGGCATTTTTACTTCATTTGTACAAATAAGATGTGATTGTCCAGAATTTTCACTGACCTCCTGCAAACTTTTTATGTAAATTTCCACTGAGGGGATGCCCTCCATGTAAATTTCTTTTCAACGGGAGCTCTGTAACCTCTCTGGCAGACTCAGGTGAATATGAGTTTGAGATGAGGTCTGGAGGCTGCAGGAAGCATCCCGTATTGCTGAGGCTCAGTGGTGAAATGCTGGGGTGGAACTCTGCAGCATTACTTTCAGCTTCCCCAGATGTTTAGAAGCCTTCCACCTATGAAGCCTTTACTGTCAGTAAATTTTAAATACTAATAGCAGGACACAGGAAATTCTGTGCCAGTCACAGTAAAAATGGGAGCTTCTGTGGTCCACAGTACTCATTAAAGCTCTCTTTGCCCTCTGCATTCCAGGAGTTGGTATAAGAGGGCCTAATACTTGCTGTGTGTTGTCACTGAGTGCAAGAATGACAGATCCTTTTCTTGGCTGGGAGCTGAGTGGTGCTGGTTTATCTCAAGTGAGTTAGTGTGGCCTCACTGTGAAAGCTCATTGTCCCAAAGACACGCTGCTGTGTAGTAGTTTCCATGGGCTGAAACCAGTCACCCGTGTTTTAATGTTTTCTGATGTTGTTTTTAACTTTGTTTCTTTCCCTTTCCTGGCAGATTTTTATTGGTGAGATATCCATGTATTTCATAAAGTCAACCCGAGAAACCCTAATCATTCAAGAGAAAACCATATTGACTGGAGAGTGCTGTTACCTGAACCCACTGCTTCGAAGAATAATACGTTTTATAGGTAAGCAAACTGAGCACTGCAAGCTTAGACCCCGTTTGCACCAAAACAGAACAAAACACCATAATTATCTACACCACCAAATTAATTAAACTCCGAAATCTTTGCAGGCATCTTCCACCTTAGAGAGATAGTCCCCCTTGAGATTTGCAAGGTAACATTCAGAATGTGGCGTATCCTGCTGTGTGGAGCTGGTTTATATCCTATTCTGCTGAGGTTAATGCTTCTTCTGAACCCTTGAAGAAAGGTTATGCCAGTCAAATCCTTATATGAATAATTCCATCATTGCTAGTCCGTGTAAGCTACCCATTTTATTTACAAATTGGTCCTCACCAGCCCATCTCCTTGGCATTTTTCACTTCAGCTCTAATTTTAACATCTATAGCTCTGCCACAAAATGCTTAACTGAGCACAGTGTGAATAAGCCCAGATCGAACTTCCAAACAGCATTCTTATTTTTATTGTATTTGTTTCTTGTTACAGCTTTCATTGAATTAGTTGTTGAGAAATGAATGAAGAAGTTCTGGCATTTGGAGGTTGCTTTATATGGCGGTTGCAAACCACTGTGCATTTTTCACACTGTGGGAAAAAGTGCCTGTGAGACCTCAGTCAGTGGACCTTCCCATGGCTCTTTTGGAGCAGGAAGAGGAACAGCATTTGCAGCTTGTGTTTCTGCTACGGCACTGACAGAGTCTTGTCCTCTGTAGGCTTCCCAATTTACCCTGCCCAAACTGCACCCCTCTGTGTTTGGAGCTGAGGAGGTCTGGTTGCTCATGTGGTACTTCCTTGTAGCAGCAGAGTGAGAAAAGCACAGCTCTGAACTGCACGTGCGAGGGGCTCTAGCTTCCCTCCTTCTTACTCGTGCGTGAGAAGTCCCAAGTTCATGCATGGGGTGGAATATTTTCCCTTGCTCCTGGCATGGGCCAGTGGTAAACCAGCTCCCCACTGACCAAGAGGGCCTTTGCCCACAGAGCATCGTGATGCTTTCCTCCCTGTATACTCTTAGAGGCAAAGCAGCCTTACACACTTATCCTATAGACAGCTGGGTCTGAATTCACAGTCTGAGTTAAAAGAAGCAATGGGGAAAATAGATGAAAATATCTGGATCACTTGTCCCCTGTCATTGCTGATTTTTTCGCTTTATCTGGAAGAAAAATATCTGCTGTGGTAGGGGTTGTATTGTGCCCATGGAGCACAGCCCTGGCTGCAGGCAGCTATACTTGCTCAGAGCACAGAGTTGAAAGTCGTATCTTGTGTTAAGGTTTTCATCATCAGAAGATACATGCTGCAAAGGAGCCGTGGTTTTCTTTCTCCCTCTCGACAATCCATGCCTCCTGCTTTATGCATGGAAGTTAGGAAGTGAAATGGTTTTTAACTGTCTGCAACACTGTGGGTGGAGACAAACCACCTGTAGTTCAGACTCAGGGCTGGCCTGTGTGCTGCTGGTGACAACGAAACACATGGGAATGCAGCTAAAAGTACAATACCCTTGAACTTCACATAACCTCTAGGATATATTGATGGACAGTAAACTGCCATTAAGAGAGAAGCAGCGTACCAGAGTCCACTGGGCTGTTCGAGGCTGTTTCACTCTTCCAGCCTGTTTGGCATGGTGCAAAGTTCTAATCAAATACTCTTGCCCGCGGGGTCAGCACTGAAAGAGCTCAGACCATGGAGGCTAAGCGCTTGCTCTGTGTGTTTTCTTGTGGTTAGCTTTATTCTTAAACATTTGTGCTATTTTTTCTCTTCTGGTGGAAGAGAAGGGAGTAGTGCTGATACAGTGGGCACGCAAAGAGTAGTAGGTTACGAACTCTGCTAGAGAAATCAGTCTTGGCTTTGCAGCTATATTTGTTTTCCTGAGAAAAAAAATGAAGTTAACATTATCAGAAATGACTTATAGTGTTTGTCTCATCTTAACGCTACACTGATTCCTTGCTTATTTTCTTCTGAAACCTCCTCCCTTGCCTCTGCAATAAAATGAGAGAAGCAGAATTTGCTGAAAAGTGTCTGAAATAATTTAAGAAAGGAACTAAAAATTCATTTTTCAATGACATTCCATCTGCATGTTGAAAATGTTGCATGGACTGAGCAGCTGTAGCCTGTACTGGATGGTCAGGGAAGTTAGGTCCATGCTCAACCTGAGGGCCTTCAGTTCCATGGCTGATTAGGTATGTTATATTCCAAGATACCCTAACAAGCAGTCTGGCTTGTTGCAAAGAACTTCACTGCCAAATTAGTCTTGGTAGGAATATCCGCATCTGCTGATTTTTTTTTTTGGCCCAGGTTTGTGGAGTCTTAAGTGAGTACCTGCAAAAAATAGTAATCGAACTCCTTGGAATATTGCTTTATAAGTCATTACAGTTGTTATTATTATTCAAAAGGTTGGGGACAAAAAATGCTTCAATGTGTTTGTGTGCTTGTGTGTCACCCAAAAGAAACGCTGCCTTCTGACCCTGCAATGCACAGCAGAGAGTGCTTTTGAGAGCTACTCCCAAATGTTAGAACAGCAAAGAGGCTTTTTGTTCCTCTCTCATTCTGTAACTGGAGCTGCTGGGAAGACATGGCATTTTAGCAATAGTAGCCTAAAAGTGCTTTCCACAAAACAGGCAGAAAGTTACAGATACTTCATTGAACATTCACTTACATTTTGGAAGGAAAGAGAAGCAAAAAGGGAAACTGCAGGCTATCTTTTGGTGATGTGAAAGGTAAACACCCTTGTCCTGCTATCTCCATGGGATCTTTTGGATTCGGTTGCTAGTTTTGAGCCTTTTTCCCTCTTGTTTTTTCTTCAGGTATACAGAATGAAGCATTTTTTTTGCACTTTGATGCAAACTCCACGCTAATGGAGCAAGGAATTAAGCAAAACCAAAACCCTGTAACTCTTCTGGGATGTTGGCAAAGCCTCATGTTTCTTTCCTTAATTTTTCTTATCTTGCCTACTATGCTCTCTACTTACTGTCTCCTTGTTTTCCTCAAGCCCACAGCATCTGACTCTAAGATTCTGTCCTCCTGAGTTTAGTGGGAACCTTGAATGCTGAGCTCTGTCTTCAGTCCTTCCCTGATTCTTTGTCCACAGGAAGCAGAACCAAAATTTCTTCTTCCCTTCTGGCCCAGGCATGAATTCTGCACGCTTGACATTTGCTTTCGTGGTGAAGGGCTGTCTCTCAACTTGCTTCAGTGTGCATCAAGTCTTTTACTGCAGCCTAGATTGTGAAACCTTCTGTGGTCCCTGTATTTTGAAAATCAATTCCTTTATCAGTGAAAAAAAAAAGCTGGCCTAGCTTGGAAACATCAGACTTTTATATATATTGCAATTTGTTTCATCTTGCTCTTTATCTTTTATAGCTGCTTCCACAGACATTTATTTTGAAGATTTTTCAGGTGAAATAAGTGGTGTGCAACTGCTCTGGAGCAGTTTTTTCTGCCTAAAATATTGGTGCTGCACTGCGGTTCCTTAGCCACATCATCCCTTCTCCCTACTCTCCTGACCCTTCCCAGCAGTTTTATTACAAATTTCTGCTGCCAAAATTCACCATTTACATGCTGGACATTTGAGAAACTGGGGATAAAAGCGGTAGTTTCTCTGCCTCTTCTCCTTGTCTCCCAGCTTGAGCACGTACAGCTTTTTGCATTTTTATTCGCCTTGTCTTGTAATTTCCTGTTCAGTGCTTTGCCATCTTGCATTTGCTTCTGTGTTCTCCCTCATCATCTGTGTTGTAAATAGAAGTTATAAATTACTTTAGCATTATATAGTGAATGGTTTCAGTCAAGAATTTAGTCTGTCTGTATACAGCTGCTACCATAGCCTCAGGATCATGGATTCAGACCTCCTTGAATCAGTCTGGCAGCGTGACTGGGGTGTGTATTGTGTGGCATTTCATTATATCAGGCTCCTAATCCACGTGATTAACTTGTATACCTGCAAAGCCCTGATAACATGCAAGTAGCCTCTCTCCAGTTTAGATATTTAGAAATGCAACATGCTTCATGAATTTGTTTCCAGTGGCTTTTACTTCGGACCTGCATAATTTGCAGTTAATAAATGGTGCAGATAAGCTTCTGCTGACAGCTTAATTTAAAGCATGGTGGCACCTCACAGTGGGCAGCTAAATAATGAAAGTGAGGCTTTATTTCAGCAAATTAAGGCTTTAGTTCAGCAAATAAAGGTTTACAAGATTTATACACACATTGACTTTCTTGTAATAGGATAGATATACCCCAGAGCTCTGATGTCAATTCCCTAGGCAGCTGCAGGATGCAGTTTGCCTGACCTTATCCTTCTGTCTGCCTTGGACCTGAAGTTCACTGTGAAACAATGCACATTATGTTATTAACTGGCTGCCTTTCAGTAGCGGTCAAACTGTGTTTGGGTGTGCTGCCTCTAACCTAAACTGCTGCAGCAGCTTGAACTACTGCAGGTCTGCCTTCTTACCACTGAAGAGCCTCCACAGTAAGAAACAGGTCACTGTGTTGGGGACAAATCAAACCTTGCTGTTCCCTTTTAAGCCAGGTGCTCAGCTGGCTGTTGCCTAGATGAAAACTAATAGTTGTGAAGCAGCAAGGAAGGAAAAAACCCCGTGTGTCTGTGGGGATGAGAGGCTCCAGTATACTTTTGAGCTGGGAACTGAATTTCTTCTTATATGGTCAGACCATATAGAATCATGGAATCACTTAGGTTGGAAAAGTCCCTTGAGATCATTGAATCCAACCATTAACCAAACACTGCCAAGCCCACCAATAAACCATGTCCCTAAGCACCACATCTACACTTATTATTTTTAAAAAATGTATTTTTAAATACCTCCAGGGTTGGTGACTTAACTACTTAACCTGTTCCAGTGCTTGACACCCCGTTAGGTGAAGAAATTTTCCCTAATATCCAACTATTTAGGTAAACCTCCACTGGCCATTTCTTCTTGTCCTATCACACATCTTGCTTCTTACGTGTTGAGGGGACAGTATCCAGGCAGGACACTGACAGGTGAAGCAGGCAGGCACAAGAGGTGGTAGATGCCTGGAGCAGTGAGCTTTGTGGGGGTCTTCTCTGGGAGATCAAAGCTGATCCTGGGATCAGATTGTAAGTGCTCAGAAAAAGCATGCTGTTGAGGCTGTTCCTGATGCCATGGCAACAGACAATAAATTTCCTTGCAACCCCCATTACTCTAGTTGTAAAATGGATAAATGATACAGATCTCCTTTAATAACACCTTGTAAGATACAGTGATGGAGAGTCTGAGTCACTGGGCTGTAAAAGCATGGCTGTATTTCATGCACAGGACCATTAGAGCAAAACCTTCAGAGATGGGCTGAGGATCACCATTTCCATAGAGCCATGAGTCCTTCCACAGACTTCCTACATTGACATTCTCATCTTTTTTTTTAAAACATAGAGGTGCCAAAAAGGGTTGTAGGAGTGGGAGTGTGCGTGTGTAATACAAATGTTTCTGAGCAAATTAGATTGGGTGGGACAAATTCAGATCATTGACTGGGCACTGGGAGAGGAGTGCCTAAATAAATGCACTTGGCAGAGGACATGTCTGTGTGTTACCAAAGCAGACAGACTCTGATACCTTGTGACACCCTTCAATGCATTGTTGCTTTTGTCACATTACTTAAGGGTTTCATGGTTTTTCTCTAATAAAGCCTTCTATCTCCTCATTCTCATTTCCACCCACTGGCTTCTCCCTTCTGTATTCCCAATGTATGTTTAGCTGTTCTTCCACAATTCCATGGGCTTTTTTTTTTTTTTGGAGGGGAGTTTGTTGTTTTATTTCAAATCAGCAGCATTTAAAATGTCTGTAATAGTGAGAGTTTCCATGGAGTCAACAAGCACTGCAATCACTGATATTAGACAGCTTCAAGGTGGAAGAAGAGAGAGCTCAGCAAGAGTTGCAAGGAGAAGTCTGAGTTGTGCTGAGGTTACAGTGAGCGAGGAGAGCTGTATACTTCTTCAGGGCAGATGTCTCTGCTAGCAAAAGCAAAAGACAATGCTGGAGATGGCAACGCTGATGAACACCCACACAGGGAGCCCATTAGGAGAAAGACCATTAGAGTAGCGTGTGAGTGAGACCCCAGAAGTCATAGGTTTATGCTTGGAGGATGAAATTTGGCAGCAGAAATAACTTCTGCTCTTTACTTGAGGCCTCTCTGTGCAGCCAGACTATGTGACACATGTGGGTAAGGGGAATGAGCATCTTTATGTAAATGAAATTAACCCCTGTCCATCTTTTCTACTTGTAACCAGCTGTAGAGGCTGTAGGTCTTCTTCCCATGTGGCTTTTATTGTTTACAGCTTTTCTCAGCATATGCTAAGTTCTGGACTGAAGTTCACTCCAAGGTTTTCTAGGTCAGAGTGAGCACAGTGAGATAAAGCACGTGCTCCTTAGCAGGCTGGCATCACCTCCCATTACACCTGAGCGTCAAAGCCTGGAAGAAGTACACCTTCTTGCATTCTTTCTCTGTGGCATCGTACCATGAACTCCAGCTGTATGACCCTGAAGAGCCAGGGCTAGTTGCTTTTCCTGTAAAGTCTTTTCAGCAGTGATTTGTCTGCCTCTAAAAACCTGGCACTCGCATCACTGCATTGTTGTGCTTTGGTCAGTTAGCTTAGCTGCTGTAGGTCATTGAACAAATCCATTGAGCAGATGGATTCCTGAGGTATAAAAAACATCAGGAAACTCTCCACCACTGCCCAGGCTCACTGGTGATGCAGCCTTTAAATCAATCACAGCCAACCCTATATCCAAGTCTCCAGAGACTACATGATGCGTAATCAGGCTATAAGGGTTAAATTCCTGCTCACCAACTTTGTTGCTGCACGGAGCTATGATTTTCATAAGGCACAGTTTGGCAGAACTGCAGGGGTGGAATTACACTGATCAACATGCATCACAGTCATAGCACGATAAAGGTTTCAACCATGGCTTGTTCTGCGGAGTGCTACAGCCCTCAGCAGTTGAATCTGGGCCAGCACTTCCAGTGCTACCAAATATTGAGAAAATGCAGATGCTGAAACTTATTTTGGGTGAAAAACACTGGCCCACCTTTGTACCTGTGCACTGCCTAGAGATTGAAATAACTTTGAGAAGCCCATGAGCTTTCTTTGAAAGACATCAGTTCTTGGCTTGTACTTATGCAGTAAAGACCATGGACCAGACTGCCTGGCTCTTAGATTTCCTCATAAATATTGTAAAAGGCTGGGTAATAATCTCCACTGCATTCAAAATATGCTGTTTAAAGCAAGCTGTGCCAAAAAAAATGTTAAGAATTTGGCCAAAGAGGCCTGTATAAAACAAGATTCGCCTCTGGCATACGTTGCAGTTTCACCAGGCAGAAAAGATACCTAATGCCTTTTTCCTTTGAATTTGCCTGTGCACTGGCTAATGTAGATGAGGAGTTTCTGCCAGCTGTGGAAAACCATGGATTTAAAATATTAGCAGAACAATACAGAAAATAAAGGAGAAGTGTCAGCACTCTCTCCATTCCCCTTTTAAACACTTGGCAGGATAAATGGGAGGAAAACTCTCATGCCAGTAGAAAGATAGGGGCTGGTCCTGCCGTCTAGAACCAGAGGAAGACTACCTCCTTCTTTGACCACCACTGGCCTTTCAAATCAATGACCACACATCAGTTCATTAACAATGAATGATAATAAACTGACATAAAGAATAGTAATAAACTCAGTTCCTAGAATTGTCTTTGCTGTGGTAACACTCCTTCTCAACCTTGGGGAGGTGTGGTGCTGACAAACTGCTCTGCCCTCCCACAGCTGCCACAGGAGAGGGATTGGTACCCCCAGGAGGAATTTGTGTTGCAGCAGAGGTGTACCAGTCACACCACGCTGCCTCTGGGCACTGCAAGTGCTGCACTGGCAAGTGCCCGTTGGTGCTTGTACCATGAATCCATTTTCAGTTAAGGGGTTTATTTTATGTTACGCTGTGTACAAGTGTCTACTTTGTAGATAGGTCCTGAATGTTTAGAAGGACCTAACTCTTGTCAGCTGTAGCCCTGAGCGAGATCAGGACCTTCATTTTTCAGTATCAGATTAGTTGAATACTCAAAATCCAAACGGTATTTTACACTAGATAGTTAAGTGCAGGATTCTCTGTTCTCAGTACTAAACTGCCACTCTTTCAGGATCAGAGCCATCAGGTTATATTACCTTTTTTTGGCCCAGGTATGGTAAAAATACATGAACATTTTCAACAACTCATGTACATAACAGTTGACTGCAGGCTGTAAGCCTTTGTCATGGTGGAAACGTATCGTTTTCTGTGAAATCTGTAGCTCACAGTTCAGTTCCGAAAAAGGTACTTAAGCACAGAAGTCCTTAGGGACTTGCTTATTGTTTTCAGCCTGTTTATGAGTCCTTCTGGCATTGCTGAGTTAAGCACTTGTCAGAGCTGTGTACTCTTCTGTGTCATGCCTTGGATGCAGGGCTGTGCTGGAGATCACTGAGCTCTCTTGTTTCTCACTGTCTCTTCCTTTCAGGACCCAATATTTTTTTAAAAAACCTGTTTGAATAATCATCACTTTTACCCTTTCCTCACAGGAGTGTTCGCATTTGGACTTTTTGCCACTGACATATTTGTAAATGCTGGCCAGGTTGTGACTGGGAACTTGGCTCCCTACTTCCTGACCGTGTGTAAACCCAACTACACTGGGAATGACTGTCGGGCCCACCACCAGTTCATAAACAACGGCAACATCTGCACTGGGGATGTGGAGGTGATTGAAAAGGCACGGAGATCCTTCCCATCTAAACATGCTGCTTTGAGCATCTACTCAGCGTTATATGCCACGGTGAGTGCCACTGGTGATTGCTAACTTGCATGAGAGGTTTCTATATGTGCATCCAGATGGGGCCAGTTTTTTTACAGTGGTTCTGGGGAGTATTTTGGGGAGGCCTTTGTTCTTAACCTGTAGATGACGATCCTCTTCTCTCTGTTTTACCAGTCCTAGTGTAAGGAAATCAAATCATCATTGCATTTAAGGCACTTAATGATGTGGAGACATGAGTTCTTAATCTTGGTTTTTCTGCTGATTTCCTCAGCGGCCATTGAGTTTGTATCCAACCTCTTCTTCTCCCTGCCTCTGTCTCATGAACATTAAAATGAAGTTGATGCTTAAACAGCTCCTGGATCAGTACTACTTTTGTTCACATGCTGTGGGTAGCTGAACATTTAAAATATAAATAGGCTGGATTTTGCTTCCCTTGTCTGTTTTTAAAAGTCTAATGAAACAGATCAGCTGGCTCTTTGTGTGCTTGGGATAAAGCTTCTGTAATGTTTGAAAACTGATCCAAGAAGCTGACCACCAAGTTGAAAACCTTGGCGGTTTTGCGACAGAGATCCAAGGACTTAACCTGGTTCTGATCTCAGTATGGCTTAACTATGTCTTTTTTCCCCCACTGGCTTGGCTCAAATGAGGGGCAGAGTCTGTAGGTCATCAGGATCTGAGAAAAGCCGTGGCAGGGTATTTACTGAATATTTCACCCTGATCTTTGTAGCAGATGAATAGAATACCACATTATTGCTGTAAAATGAAGAAGCCACCTACTGCTGTTTCAATATCCATCTGTTTGCACTGAATGTTGCGTGAATAATGACGGAGATATAAATTGGTAACCTCTTTGACTGCATGCATGACTTCTGAACAATAAGCAGCCATGTGAGAAATACGGTTCCCAATAAACTCAGCATGGTTGTAGCAGCTGTTTTCATCATGATAAACTCTTGGGTGGAATCTCCAGGGTCAGGGTTGATCCTCGTCCTGCCCCTAAGCTGGTTACATCCTGTGATGGACCTTCCCTGCCCAAACTCCCTTGTTTCCTAGCAAGACAACAAACAGGGGGGTTTCCACAATTGAAGAATAATGTTTTCCCCTCCTGAGCTTAAGCATCCATTAGTTCAGTGTTTCAGAGCCTGTCTTTCAAGAATACCTGCAAGAGGCCTGCCTGCACTTCTCCCCACACAGGCAGATACTAGTTGGAGCCAGGACGTGGCGTTATGTCTGAGAGGCAAAGTCATAAAAGCCTGCCCTTAAGGCATTTTAGCCTACAGTCCGATTTTAGCCAGTTCTGTGTGTGAAGACACCCTCTAGCACTAAAGGTGGTGTCATTTGTCTTTTTTCTGCGTGTCAGCCAGGGATAAGCGGAGCATTGCACAAGAAATGCAGTGTTCAGATCTACCTCTGCCTGGGAATTGTGCCTTGCACGATTTTTTAAGTGTCTTGCTGATTCTAAGAAGTGTGATAATATGGGCTGCTGAACATAAACCACAGGGTGTTTGGTTTGCAGTAACTGCATTTGGCAAAAAGCTGAAGATTTGAGCCATGGAGAAAGAAAAATGAAACAGGTTGACCATGAGGAGGCAGGAGAATGGAATCAGTGAGATCTGGGAGTCTCCTCCCACCACTGAACCTCGAGTATCCTCTGCAGATGCCTCTGTACTGATTCATTCATTAGTGTGCTGGTAACAGTACTCCCGCTGTGATTGGTTTAGCTTTGTGTTTTGGTGTGGGTTTTTTGTTTATTTGTGTTGTGGGTTTTTTTTTAAATCTGAGTTTTATATTTAATCAGCCGGGCTTTTTCTTGTCACCTGCCAAAGATGCTGAGGAGAACCCAAAGCATCACTCCTGTGATGTCTGCAGGCAGAGATTAATCTTGTAAGCCTGAAGCAGGGGAACGAGAAGACAGACAGCAGCCCTGGTTTCCATACTTACACAAAAATTAGAATGACATCTGATTAAGTTTTATTAGCCACCCAGAAGTATCACAGGAAGAGATGGCAGTCACTGTAGGTAGTACCAACTGCTGTACAATTAGAAACACGTGCTTCTAAGTATCTTTCCCAAATTAAAATGGTAGGTTAGAAATATCCCTTAATTCATTAACACTTCTGGAAAAAAAAACAACAATCCAACCAACCAGCCAAAAAACAGATGATAAAATCATGTGTTGCATATGAGTATTTCAGTTACATCATCTTTAAACAACTGTTGCTTTATGCTTTTCTGAGAAAGGTCATGGAAGAGTCAATGACAACAGCATCTAACAGGTGATAGTGTTCAGCCAGAACATGGAAAATTAAAGCATTTCACCAACAGAACTGAAGAACTGTAGAGAGAATGTAGATATCCTTATTTATCCTTCTTTTTGCTTCTAGAGTGAAATCAAAGGAAATTATTTTGCAGTCATGACAGAGACTGCATGTTGGAAGATACAGCTAATCACTTACGTTGACTGTTCGGTAGTGCTTTTTAGGATTCTTCAGCTAAACTCTTGCCTAGCAGCACCTCAGAGTAATGCTTCCTGGCACGTCCATCTGGATAGAAGACTCTGTCCATCACCGGATCAAGCCTGGCATGCGTCATTTACGCTTGCATGCATTGCTTCTCGACTAGATCAGGGGGATACCATACACCTGGACATGAAACTTTACAAATTTGGGAAGTTCTGAGTAGCAGAGAACAGTAGGGCAAATCCTTTCTGCAACCCAGGTTGCTTTGACCACACCAACAATTTCTTCCTTTTCTGCATTAACGCCTACCAGAGTAATCAATGAAATTCAAGACCTTGGCACTTCAAGCAACTGCACCGAGTATCTACGAGAGTGCATCCTGTCCTGCAATACACAATGCTGTCTAATTCTTTGCTTCTTTCTTACCATAAAAATCTCTATGGTAAAGGAAAAGATTGTCTGTAAAGCTTGTAGGACACAGAATTTTCCAGTATTGGCATGAAATTGTGAACTTCCCAAGGAAAATATGTCCCCACTCTCTGCTGAAGGGATAAGACAGACTTCTTCCACTCTGACTTTCTCATCATAGATATAATATACTTTCTAAATATATACATACATCTGCATCTAGAAATATATATATGTATGTATGTATGTAGGTATGTATGTCTATTTTTAAATTTCAGACAAAAACGTCTCCTTGACTGTCTGTGCTTTTGTCTGTCTGAAAAAACTGGAAGAGGAATTACACACAGGATGAATGCTACTATCACACATTGCACATTGCTAAACACACTGCTTGAGTGTACTGATAAGAATACAGTAGAGAAGCTGAGGAGATAATTTATAAAATTAAATCATATGTAGTTTATTTTTTAATATGATGTATTCTACTTTCTTCACACATTTTATATTCACATCTTTCCTCCCTCTCCCACCCATCAGATAACTGCTTTTGATATTTAGAGTTCTGTAAATAAACTTACCCTATAAATAGCATTGTGGGAAATTTTTTAAACCACCTTCTGTGTGTAGGAAATCAAATGCAGGTGACTTACACTGAGATTATGCGTTTTCACACAAAGCTTTGAAAACATGCTCTGAATGAAAGGGTAAACACATTGTGAGAATCTTAAAACTATATCTTGGCTTTAGGGACCAGGACAATAAAGATGAAACCGCAGTGACTGGGAGGTCTGGCTGGAACGGAGAAGCTCTCCTGGTTATTTCTGAGCTCTGTGTGTGATTTATGGATGCACTGGAGCATGCCTTCTGGGAAAAACAGTTTGTCGTCTTGTAAACCCTCTTCATGAGGGTTTAACAGATTTCCCTTGGCAATCTGTTTGCATGGTTAATTACCCTCAATGCTAAAAATGTTCTCTTTACTACAAGTCTATGTGGTCCTGCTGAGACGTGTGAAACTTCAAATACACTAGATACTCTCCCATCTGTAATGAGGAGAATTCTCCCACGTGTGTAACCCAGACATCTAGCTTCATCTCATACCTGTAGGAAAACAAGCGTGGGTTGCTCTCTGTAGCTGGGGTTGGCAGCTGGACTGCATTCTTGCTTTAAAGTGGTGACGAGTTTCCTGTGGATGCTGTAAAACACAGCAGTGCTGTGGTGGGGAACAGGAGCGCAAGCTGGCTCTCTGCTGTTCGTTTGGATTACCTTCTGCTAAAAGAAGTGCATAGGGGGAAAGGGTAGGCGGTAGTTTTTCACACAGTGGTAATGGTATTTTTTCCTGTTGTTTCCAAAAAGAACCTTAACGTGAGTTTTGGTAGCAAGTCAGGCACAGTGCAACCCACCAGAGAAGACTGAGGCAAGATTGCCGCCTAGTGCCCGGTTGCCAGCTGTAATTCCAAGGCATGACCTGTAGTCAGGTGCTGGGTTTGAAAAACAAAGCAAAGCAGGAACCTCTGCAGTAGCTCAGTCCCATTCCCAGTGCTATCACACACCGTAATGTTCCAGTTCATAACCTGAACTGACCTCTGAATGGTGTGCTCCCCTGAGCATTTAAGGACAGGAGACTTCACTTTACCCGTGCAAATGCAGCTGCTAGAAGTCTAGTAGTGACATTTCTTGGTAGGTGAAGTCAGTCTCTCTGTCCCTTTTAAGATGCAGTTGCTGCATCCCTTCCCTTCTTCCAGGGTGATGTATTGTCAGGGGTTTAGGGCTAATACCAGGCAGCTAATACCAGTCCCCCAGCTGTAGGGACATTTGATGGCCTAGTCAAGGAGAAGGGAAATTAAATAAGGACAGGGAGAAAGAGTAAAAAATATGCACAGTACAGCAGAATAAAGGACTATATGAAAGGCAGTGAAGAAAGTAACCTTGAGAATAGATATGATTTGTATTTCTTCATCCCAAAACTGTGTGTCAGACCTTAGTGACCTCTGTATATCTGGTTCATGAAGAAAGGAGCAGGCATTTATTTTAACTTTAATTACCCATGGCTGCCAAATAGATCATTGACTGGAAGCACCAAGCCAAGCCTCGGCAGACTTCCTTCAGCAGAGGCAGGGGAAAATCCAGGGCAGCTTCACCCCAGCCGAGCCGTTGTCATTTTGGCCAGAGACTGGTGGTGAGAGCCAGCACAGTGTCCATGGCTGCTGCAGCAGCAGCAAAGGACAACAGCTCTTGGGTACCCACAGCCCTGCAGAGTCCCGCTCTGATATCAGACAAAGCACTCAGCAGTGCCCTTCCCCAGAAATGCAGTCATCCTAGAGAAAAATGAGGCTTGTGACCTGCAGACAGCACAATGAGACATCCCAGCTGTTGTGTTATTGCAGATGTGATTAAAATAAATAAGGATCTTCTAGAGTCTTTTGTCTGGAAGTCTAAGGAAAGCATATTTCCATTTCTGACAACTGAAATGGGGTAAAGAATGAAAATATTTTCAGCTTTGGTGATTTTACTGTTTTCACAACAAGAGAATGTATTTTTTCTTTACAAATAAAATGTCAATTTTTGATATTAAACACTGGAAGACACACTTTCATAGCTTCTAATCTTTCTATTGCCTAGAAGAACAAGTGTTCGCACTATCAGACCTGCGCTGTGTGAATCAGGTTCATTTACCAGCTGACTGGTAATAAGAATCAAATGAATTTTTCAAGTGTGTCTTCCTGATTCTGTTTCATGTGTGGGAGGCCATGTGTCACCTGGAGATGCTTCTGGCAAAAAGTGTTTTGACACACTTGCTTTGTTTATTCAAGCTTTGAAAATCATGCAGGCATCCATGCTTTGTTGCTGAAAAGGATTTTATTGAATGGATTTGCCACAAGGCTTGGTTTGCTTGATCTTTGTCATTTTGCAACTGTGGAATTAATGACTGGCTGCCAGTTGTGACCCACATGGTTTTACTCTCTGTTAAAATGCATTTAAAATAAAATACAAACTGGCAAAAACGTGTGGGGTCATTAAACAATATTTAGAGCACAGTGAAATGTCATGCCCTGGAATTACATTTCCAGAATTTCCTTTTTTTAAAAAAAAAAATCTCTCATATTCTGTGTTTCGTTTCATATTGCAAAGAGAATGGCTGGAATGGTTTCTCTTAACATTCTCCATTTGCTAAACCTAACACCACTTAGGAAGCAGGAGGAGCTCGTTCATAATGCATGCTAGGCACTCTGTCACACGTTATCATTTCTGCAGGAGTATAAACATAAATTCTTGATTCCCTTTGCAAATATTTAGCCATGTACACTCAGAGTGCATGTTTGCTAGCACAGGAGCAAGTACTCACACAAGTTTCTAGTTGAGAGGTGTCCCTGCCCATGACAGGGAGGTTGGATTAAATGATCTCTAAGGTCCCTTCCAGCCTAGGCCATTCTATGAGTCTGTGGTTCTAAGTTAGGAAGTCGTTAAAAACTGAGCCTGTGCATAAGAGCTCAGAAAAAGTCCCGTATGTTAATGCAATTGATAGGATATTGGCCATCCTGAAATATCATTTAACAGTATCTGGTCTGTTCTCCTTAGAGTGTTCTCTGAATTACCTTAAACCTCTTCCTTTGTTTCCCAGTTGTTTTTTTTGTAATGAAGCTTTCCTTTTTTTCCACAGCCTTGCTGATTCAGGATTTATCTATATGGAAAAACACGTATTTGTGGCAGAGCTTTTTTCATTTTTGGCTTGCTCTTTGTTTCAGATGTACATCACAAGCACAATTAAAACAAAGAGTAGCAGGCTAGCCAAACCAGTGCTGTGTCTGGGTACGCTGTGTGCTGCATTCCTCACCGGGTTAAATCGAGTTTCTGAGTATCGAAACCACTGTTCAGATGTGATTGCAGGCTTCATCCTGGGGAGTGCTGTAGCTTTGTTTCTGGTAAGCCTATCAGTCCTTCCACATTCCTTCTAAAAATATCTCAGTTTAAAAGAATAATTAAAAATTTCTATTCTCTTGTGGCCTATTGCAGCTGATTAATCCAGTTGCTAAGAAGTAATTTTAGCCCCTTCTAATTAAAGTATCACCAGAGAAAATCCTAATATGAAATCAGGTTGATACTCATTAATAGGGTTTATATGATTACATTTGTGCATAGTGTGTATTTCAAGATTATTTTAATTACTGTATGTGATTCTTTGACCTGTCCCAAGAAATGATTTAAAGACGGTGTAGATTGTAAATTTCAACTGCTGTGAAAAGTGGGGCGTGCTTGAGACTTCTCTGACAGCCCTATGGTGCAGAACACCACCACGTGCCTGGTATCTGGCAGAAAGGTCTGAGGCTCTTCACAAGGGTTCTGGGTCCCCCTTTTGTTTCAGACCATAAAACAAGTGCAACAGAAAGGAAGTTCAGGACAAACCCCCAGGGGGACAAAACTACCTCCCTTTGCAGCATTTGGGGTGGAGCTGAAATTTTCACCATCGCATGGGATAAACAAATGTATTAAAATGTATGAAAGACCTTCCCAGAGACCCTGGGAACAACTGTCTCTGGGCTTACCCTGTTGTGCGTTACGTGTCTCGGTTGGTGAGCGATCTCTTGCTGAGGATATACTCACACAGCAAGCAGTCAAGGTGACGCTCACTATTGCTAAGGAACGTGTCTGGTTCCATTTAATCAAAACGTGCTTCAGAACTATCCACTGCATGGCAACAGACACTTTATCCCTGTAATCAGGATGGATGAGGCTCCAAAGATCCCTTAAATCTAGATTGCTGTGTAACTGCTTTTCCTATTTTGTACTTAAAAAACAAACAAACAAACTTTCACATATCATTTATTCCTGTCTTCCTGTTAAATAAAAAGATGTCTGCAACCTCTGACCTGAATCTCCTAGGCTCAAATGTAAGTAAATCGTCTGTTTCCCTCTGGGAAAGGCAGTTCAAATCTATCGCATGCAATACCCTGTGTATCTGGACCGGACACAATCGATGTGCTCCCGGTATCCGTTTCTAGCAGACAGCCTGCCCCAGACAGCTTTCCTTCCTGCAGACCTTCTGCCACCCTGCAGACCTTCTGCACCCTGACAGTCCACACAAGCCCAAGTGCTGAGCAGTGGAGGGGGGCTCCCTGGAGCTTGGAGGTGGGGGGTGCTGTGCAATTCAAAATCTCACCCCGGCTGCAGCTTGCTCCTTGTTCAGGTCTAAAGAGCAGAGAAGAGGAAGAGCAAGGAGCTGGCTGCAGGAGTCACTGACAGCAGATGTAGCCAGCTCCCTGCACGTCTTTTTTTTTCCACCGTGTTGCCAAGCCTCCAACTGCCATGTGTGTTTACATTTACTAGCGTCACCTTGTGGGTGCAGTAAATTTAGTGATACACAAGGGGAGGGCTTTGGGGATAAACACCACAGCAGTTGTGCTAGAGGTACGCAGGGATGGTGCTAAACAAGCTCGATGCCATCCAGATGTGAGGTAAATTCAGCCATCCAGTGAACTGGTTTCACTGTTTGGAAATAACAGTCACAGTCTGAAGGAAGACTTTGGCCAGTAAAATCTATCATCAGGGTAGTATATGGTACTGATATGGTGATGTGCTGATAAAGCGGACACGGGAGTCTCAGCTCTCTAAAACGTAAAAAGGCTGAGGATGGGTCATCACCTCAGGTTACAGACCGGATGAACCTGTTTACCCTGACAGTCCACCACACCCAGCTCTGTCAGTAAACACACTGTAGCCCCAGGCTGGGATAGGTGGTGCCTTGAATCAAAACCGTGGTTAAGTGCTTTGCAAAAACCGGCGGTTGTGAGACTCCTGGTGGTTAATTCCGATGAGTTTTTCCTGGGTACGGAACATGCCGACCTCACTTTTTTCTCTTACTTTTTTTTTTTCCTGCATTGCACAGGGGATATGTGTTGTCCATAACTTTAAAGGCACTCATGGAACTCCCACTAAACCGAAGCCTGAAGACCCACGAGGAATGCCACTAATGGCTTTTCCAAGGGTGGAAAGTCCTCTGGAGACATTGAGTGCACAGGTACTGTAAACCCCATCACCAAGCACGTACTCTGTTATAGAAGACTTAAAACTAGCTGTGTACATAACTACACAGGGAGCTGGTTTTATTCCTGACATTAAAGCCATTGAACAGAGTGAATTTGCATCGGGGAAAATTTGGTCCAAGGCATTTGTCCCTTAAACTGCCCTTAAACTGTCCCTGTGCACATCAAAAGCTAGAACAGTAGGATTTCACATACCTCTGCATGTCATTTGTGATTACAGGCTCTTGCTTAGAAGAACAGAAAACTGAGAGAAAAGTAAAGATAATTCATATAATTACATTTTGGAATGCTTTTGGGATAGCTTAAGGATTTTTTCTAACATTCATAATCCTGAGGATAAACTATGGTGTCCAGAAAAATGCGGTATTATAGAGATTACTTTTTTATCCTTATTACTGTTCAGTAGGTTCCATAAGAAGAAATCACATACTGTTTTATATTGCTAATTCAACAGCTGAGAAGTTAATAGCATTCTTTCAAAAGTGCAAAAAATAGGCTAGCAGGAGCATCATTATTGATTATGTTTCTGTTAAACTACTGATTTCAAATGGCTTGTGGGGGTGTAACTGAGTTATATACAGAGTTGTCAAAACAGACAAGCAAAACCTGTGAAAAAAATCTAGGAACAAGGAGGAAATGCAGTTTATATGTTATCTGAGTTTGTTCTTTATCTTATTTTTCTTTAAATTTCCTTGAGCAGACGGCCTGTCATTCCTGTGTACATGGTGTGTGGCTTGATCAATAGTGGCTTTCGTTAAACGCTGTGGCAAATGAACTGGAAATAGTAATGGAAAAGATACTGCTTCTAACAGCTGGAAATATTTTGCCAAATTCAGAAGTCAGATCTGATTAGGCAAAGATTTGCTGGAGGACTTTCAGCTTCATCTGCAGAACTGTGTGCATTAAGTGTTCTCTTGGTGGACTTGCATTCCAGAAATTAAATGCCACTTACATATCCACATTACATCATGTGTGACAAAAGGGCTGAACATGGGAAAATATTCAGGGACTGTGAGAAATTTTTTTTCTAGTTGCTATTTATAGCTTCCAGACTGTGAAGTGCAGGTCCTAACTAGGCCTTAACTGTTGATGTCCGCTATAATGAACAAAATTACTTTTTCTGATTCAGGGTATTGGTCTCTAAATGGCCATACACCTACCATGCAGGAGCAGATTGGGGGGAAAAAAACCCCAAAAACAACAAAAAAACCCCACAACAAAACCCAACGAACCAAACAAAAAAACCCCACAAACCAAACCCCATGATCCTACCCTGAAGCTATTTTAAATAAATTCTTGGGAGTGGCTGCTCATTGCTGTTTCTTCAGATACAGGAGGTGCAGCATCCTTCCCTGTACATGTTGCTGCATCCCTTCCTGTCTTGTTTTCCCTTGCACCCACACAACCCTGTAGACGCAGCGTGATCCAAGGATGACTCAGTACTGCAACTGAAGTGCTGGACATTGACTTCAAAGAAGGTTAAATCAACAGTTTCCACCTAAAGAGGATTTCAGTCCCACTCTCCATCTGTGGCTATGTGTATTTTGGCATAACGACACCACCTCTGTATGGTTTTTGGCTCTGTATGTTCCCTGGTATCAAACTGCATAGGATCTACACACCACATGAAGCCAAACCATGGTCTTTGAGGTTCTTCATGACTGAGGACAGAACTACTGTTCTAATCCTGTGACTGCATGAAGTCCCTGAGTCTGTACTGATGTGTCCCACATCAGACAGGATCCAGTCCAGTTTTGAAAAGAGTTTTTCAAGCCTGTCAGTGAGCATCCATAGCCCAGAAGCAGGGCTCGAGTTCAGCCTCTCCCACCACAAGCCCAGCACAAACAGCAGTCCCTTTTAGCTAAGCAAGAGATTCCATTAGTGAAGGTTTTTCTCATCCATTTTACCCAGCAGGATACAAAAATGCCCAAATGCATACAAATATTCACGTGTTTGCCTTTTCCTCTTTGCAGAATCACTCTGCCTCTATGACTGAAGTCACATGAGATGGAAGACTGGCAGCCGAAGCCGTTTTTTATTGCCCTCCAGTTCAATACTCCCAGACACACAGTTACTAAATGTCTAACTGTGATGACCAGTATTATGTTATGTCTAGTTAGAGGCTAATGTTTTGTACTTTTTTTGTATGAGGAAGTGATGTAGCTTGCCCTGATTTTTTGTCAGCTTTAATATGATTATGCCAGAATTTAAAAGCAAAATGGAAAAAAGAACAAAAAAAACCTTTTGTTGTTTAAAGTGTGCACTGAGGAACTACATCTATGGAATTGTTGATGTTGTTATGTGATATTTGTACACAATTTTTTTTTTCATTTTTGAATTCATATATCTTGAAGAAAATTCACTTTTACCTTTTCTTACCATAAGAAGTGCTTCTACCAGTGGGTCATATTCTGATCTGAGTAAGCTCAGCATAGATCTGAAGTAATTGCATATATTTAATTCAGATGAAAATAATAGTGATCAGGAATCTAACCTGAAGGATACAAATAATAAGCATCCATCCTTGATTCAGTGAGCTACTTCAGTATTCCGTAGTATTACGGACTTTGGGTAGCCATACAGTTTCCACGCTACTTGGCAGACTTGAAGTACGTCCTTAAGCATCTTGCTGAATCAAAGCCTGATTGTTCTGGTGTGGGTGATTGTGCTAGTTATTGAAGAATAACTAAAACAAAATGCTCAGTCTGCAATATAGAGAGACTGGACATGAAAAATTCTAGTAGTAGCTGATAGCATGTGAGCTGACTATATCATCTCCCTGGATCTCCGCTCCTCCCCCAGGCCCAGCTAAAGCTCCCGGTGAGACCTGGCTTCAGGAATTGACTATGGGGATATACAGCCACCACCGTGGGGCTGAGGCTGCGCTTTAAGTGTTCCATAACTTCATCGTAAATTTGTGGGGTAACTAGTGACGCTGCTGCAAAGGAAAAGTGACACCACTTCTGCAGTGGAGTGGAGTGGCATTACTTGGCATTCACACTGGTGTAACGAAGAAGCCAATTTTGCCCTGACAGCATAGTTTCCAACTGAGGGGGCTTGGCAAGTCAAAAAAAAACCAGAAAACAAAAAAAACACCCAACGAAACAAACAAAAAAACCCCACCCCAAACAAAACAAAAAACTAACCTGACACAGTGTGTTGTAGCAGTCGGCATTTTTTGTAAATTCTGCCATACAGAATTTATATCAAAACTGCAATTTTACAGTTTAACAACT